AAACGTACGCGAAACGTGAACGCCACATCCAACGTCATTTCCACCTATCCCATTCAATCAGTTTATCAAGTTAGCAGTTAGCTTCGTGTTAAAACTAGCGGTGAAATGTGGCGGTTTTTAACTGGAGTCAGCCAGCCTTCCAAAAGAAAACTCGTCGAACTGGAAGAAAAACCACCAGGACCAGTGGCAACCAGAAGATTTTGTGATAAGTGGCGAACTGGAGATGGCGGAGTCGTGAGACAATGGCTACATTATGATGGCCACGTAGCGTTGCTGCCTTTCACAGACAACTGGCCCTCGGCATTCTTCAAATATCCAAAAAATGCCCATACTTCCGACTTTGTCTTCTTTGAGGGATAATAAATGTCCCGAGTGCTGCCGTCTCCTCCTTTGGCCATTATTTCAGCTTTAGCTTAAAGAAAGTTTTGGTCGTAAACAACAAAGTGCGCATGTGCCGCCGGCATCTTCCAGCAGATGATACGGTGGCTGGTAAGGGTCACCGCGCCAACAACGCAGCCATGGTAATCCACCGAGATACTTAAAAAAAACCCAAAAAAACAAGACTGTTATTATTATTGTCAACTTTTTTACCGGGGTTTACCGCTACACCGGTTACCGTGACAACCCTAGTCAGATATTCTTATGGTGCAGCTGTGTTCTCCAGAGATCAAGGACTAGGACCCAAATGAGGCTGTAATGCTTTGGCACAAAGACGGCGTCAGAAGCAGGAGGCCAGACTTCATGGACAGAGAAAACAAGGAGTCTGACTAGATTTCAATGAAAGAGTTCATAAAAACATCTCTAAAAATAAATAAATAAATAAATAGTAAAAATGACAAAAGAGTTGTTTTCCTTCTTAATTGATGTTTTAATTATTTTGTCACTGTTTGGAATCAACATAATATAGAATAACATGCTTTAGGTAGATCTAAATCAGTTAGAATTTTGGCCGGTAAAAAATATGCTTGGCCGGTAGATTTTCATCATCTACCGGCCAACTTGGCCGGTGAGTAAAAAATTTAATTTCGGACCCTGAGTAGATATATAAAGCAAATACATCCTTTTTCAAAATAAATGACCTCTATCTGCACATGTTTCAAAGTAAAGCCCAAGACTGAACAGTCCAAAGTCGATGCTAAAGCTGTTTTCAGATATTAAAATAGAGTGCAATGGTATACCAGCTGAGGCCAAATGGAGAGTGGCTAGATTAACCTGCAGAGCGAAATCTTTTGCTTCATATTTCAGTTTAGTCCTCTGCTGAAATACATCTGATTCAATGGCTAAATCACCTGTTCAGCAGCTCATCAAACACTGCAGACATCTGTTGATTCACCTGCTGATAAAAATCAGGTGTGTAAGAGCAGTGAAACAACAAAGGTATGCTGGATAGTGCCTCTCTGGATGGGACACCACTGCTCTTTACACTAGAAGCATTTCCCATGTTATTGCTTTGACATGCTTTCTCTTGCATTGTGCCTGTCTTGGACCACATAAGAATGCAGCTGTGCACAAGAAAATTATGCAACGCTTGCATGACACTGCTGGTCTGGTCAGGTTGTAGCCTAGGTATTGGGCCAGAGTGACCAGTTGAACTTTTTGACCAAATTACGGTAGTGCAAATGGGCCCTACGTTATTGATACCTTCATACTGAGGTATGCTATCACCATTATGCAAACCACTACAATTTGTGGACCTATCATGCTCTTACCATATTTAACACCTCACAAAGCTCGTGCAAAGATGGTCTTGGTGATGTTTTAGCAAAGTTTTGCCAAAGTCTTTATCCTGTGTGACAGTTGGTGTTTTGTCTACCTTTCACCCCTTCGCTCTAAGGAACTTAGTTAAGCTGCACAAGACAGAGCTGCCAAACCAAAAGGAAATATAAATGTTTTTTACATATTAGGTCGTCGTGTATTTAGAGCTCAAGTCATGTTTCGTAAGTTCACACCTGAAAAGACTTGTCTTCATACGTTAGCTAATGCTTTGTTTGCAGAACAATAAATGAGCTTTCAAAAAAACAAACAATAAAGCTCTCAGTTCTAGTGTGATACTCTGAGTTGTACCTTTGTCTGTGTCAGGCTGTAATGGGATGTGCATTGTTTTGGGTGGATGGTGCTTTGTAGGACGTTTTGAGGGAGGGCAACTCAGCGACTCACGGAAATGTTGGCAGCATTTGGGGCAATCTTTGACATACATGCTCACATTGCAGTTCCACGCATATACATTAACAAAGCCCCTCACACAACTATGCAGACAGATACATGCATGGGAGTGTGTGAACAAACACACTGATACACACACAGTACCGGTCCAAACTCACAACCACGCACAAGGAACGCCACACTCGAGTCGTGAGGCTACACCTGGCTACGTGAGGCTTCCTTCTGAGGATTAAATCAGCACTTCAAAGGGCAGGAAACAAAAACACTCCTGGTGGAGGAGGAGGACGGGGTGCTCAGCAGCAGACGCTGTCAGTTCCAGACGGAGCTGGAGACGAGAAGAAGGAGGGTGGAGTTTTCAGGTGTGATGGCGGGAGGGTGTGGGCATGAAGGCCTGTACAGTTTATTTTTAGCATGTGAAAATACTCTGTGGAGTTTTCTGTCTGTTCTCACAGAGATGACCGATGTTGGTCATTTGTGGTCAGTTAGCTTTGTTTTGGTTGAGGTCTAGTTGTTGTAAAACTTAAGATCTTCGGCCTTTTGGCTGATGAGCTGCTGCTCTGGTTGGGGTTATTTTCCAGAAGCACGATAGCCTGGCAAGCTAAACTATATAGGTGAACATATAGACTGGCCATGATCCACTAACAGCACTCAGCCGTAGGGCGGGATCTAGGGTTGTATTTCAAATTGTCTACGCGTTGGATAATAAACAACATGATGTACGCGCTGCTACGGATGTCGGTCAGCGAGGCAGTCCGCCATACTTCGTCAAAGAAGATGCTAAAACAGCTTTTTCCAAATAACCTTAAATACTTCGATCTGCTCCTTAGTCAAAGAGCAGCCCAAGTCAAAATAGTCCAAAGTTGAAATGGTAAATGGTAAATGGCCTGTGTTTGATATAGCGCCTCCTAGAGTCCTGGAACCCCCCCCCCCCCAAGGTGCTTTACAACACAATCAGTCATTCGTCCATTCACACACTGATGGTGATGAGCTACTAGCCACAGCTGCCCTGGGGCACACTGACAGAAGCGAGCCTGCCGAGCACTGGCACCACCAGCAGGCAAGGCGGGTTTAGTGTCTTGCCCGAGGGCACAACAGCGACAAACATGTGGGAGTGGGGCTTGAACCTGCAAACTGTTGATTACAGGGCGAGCAATTAACTCCCGTGCCACCATCGCCCCACAACTGCTTTGAAGTCAAGGCAGTTGCCATCTTTGTTTTTTCAGTAACATCCCACCCACCAAGTGCTGTGATTGGCCCACCAAACCAATGGAGCTCTGTGATTGGACCGCTACCGATGTCAGTCAACGGGGCAGTTCGCCACTACATTGTGGAACAACTTCAACATAAAAACCATAAAGAATTGTTTTTCTAAATAACCGAGCTGTGATTGTTCAGCCACATTATTCTAGGCTAGTAGCACGACCACGTTTAGTAAAAACTTCATGACCCCTCCATCAACACCACATTTAGTATATAGCAGAATTCATAGTTATCCCAAATCGTCATCCCTTCATCTGTCCCTGCGTGTTGATTAAGGAATTCGTTTGATGCTTTGATTTTGAAATCTCGATGTACGTTTTGGTATGAAACTCCTTGTTGGTCTTTTCTGTCTTCAGGATCATTTTATAGAAGCAACTTTGTAGAGATGAGCATTTCTGTATTGTGCTTTTCCTTTTTCATGTAAACTAGCCTCATATTAAATGAGTTATATTACCCTGCTGATGTTAAATGTTGAGCTAACTTAAGAGTGTAAAGTTTGAATCTCATCCTTCATCGGAGCTCACCAAGGAATAAAGATGACTTCATAGCAGTCACCTGACTGATGGGCATCACAACCAGGGGCGGATTTAGGACTGAGGAAGATCTGGGGCTTAGCGCACGCACGCACGCACACACGCACGCACGCACGCACACACGCACACACACACACACACACACACACACACACACACACACACACACACACACACACACACACACACACACACACACACACACTAGTCAACATCATATATGTCTTGTACCACATAATTTTTAATCTGAAGCTACATATTCAGCATATTCAGGGCAGAGTATTGTTCCTGTTAGTGTTTAGTGTGAGATGATAGTAAATATTCCCGTTCTTTCTCCAGCAACTTTATCTGATAGTAAGCTAACTTTAGGCAAACCAGCAGCACAACAAATATTTTCTAATAAGACTCACAAACCTGAGTCAACACCAGTCTCATCAAAGCTGGGGTTCTGTCGCCATACTTTTGGTCTAAAAAACGTCCTTATGTCCATCTTCACTCATGCGTTTCAGGCAGAGAGTGTAGAAGAAGCCGGCTGCTGAAGGGCTTCTTCTTCAGTGGTGGAGGCTCAGGCAGGCTATATACAAACTACTGCCAGCTGCGCCCTCTCTGTCGGACTTTGGTACTGCATGTTACTTCCACGTTTTAGATCCGGGGCTTTTCATAAAACATTCGGGGCTTCAGCCCAAGTAGCCGGGCCTAACGCCACCCCTGCTCACAACAATCATGCTTTCACCCTTGTCAGTGTGTTAACAAACGCCTGTGTTCTCCAGACCAGCAAACATTTATGTTTAAGCACTTGCTCACTTATTGGAGATTAATAGTAAAGAATATTTGACTGGTTGTGCTTGAGTGATTTAAGGGAACATCATAAGGATGAACATCAGGTAAAATAAGGAGTTTTTGTATTGGATCACATTATTGATCCAACATATAGAAAACGTTATTTATGTTTTTATATTAAGCTTACATGTTTGGTGGTGGAAAATTTTATTGTTTCGAAGTATTTTTCTACATTGTAGTAAATGTGTTTGTGTGTTTTTGTAGGTGGAGTTTGAGTGGTTGCGACAGTACTGGTTTCAGGGCCAGCGTTACGCTCGCTTCTGCAGCTGGTGGACCAGACCCATGGAGCAATTGGAGAAGGACTGGAAGCTCATGGAGACCATGGTGAGAAGCCTCAGGCCCACTGAAGGTCACGTTAGAAAACTACTAACTCAGCTTTAGCAGGCTTCAAGCTGAGTTTGAGGTTAAAACTTGTAGTTTTTATGGTATTCCAGATGATTTCGTATTCAGTTCTACAACAGGTGCAATTAAAAACTTTCAAATGATCCATTTTAATGTGTTTGAGAATGTATTAGGACTGTCATCTGTGATGCATTGTAACTGAGATCATGATACGTAATGGTACATATACGTTTTAAAATGATTTACTTATTAGCTAAAAATATATATTTAGATTTCACATAGGCTCAAAAATGTTATGGGACATTTGTTCCTAATTATAATACAATAGAAGCCAAGAAGTTAGTTTCATTTTAACAGAAACGTCAGTTTGGAATATGCAATAAAATATAATCTCATTTAATAATAAAGGGGAAAAAGCAAAAATATACATTTTCTATTATTTTTTATTTTTGTCACTGTTGTAAGATTAAAATGTTGTTAACATTAGCAAAACGCTTGTTCTATAATAATAATAATAATAATAATAATAATAATAATAATAATAATAATAATATAATAATTATATTAGATAATAATAATTATTATTATTATCATTTTTTATTATTTTTATTGTTATTATTGTTATTTGATTATTTATTAGTTTATGTGTTATTTGCATCATCTATTTATTTATGTATTTGTTTGTCTAATTTTACTTTTTAATCGGAGGTTTTATGAATAATGCTGCTCACATGGGCCGGTGTGCTTACACTCACCCAACGTTTCTTTTCACTGACGTTTCATCATTAAGGAGGTGTTGTGCATTTAATTGCAACCTCTCAGAAAATCTGTGCACACATCAGCTATTACTTAGAAACCACAACAAAGTGATCCCACAGTGATGCTAGACCTGTAATTTAGTCACAGTGTAAAATCTAAGTGTAGCAGTCCCCCCCCCCCCCCCCCCCCCCACACACACACACACACACACACACAGCTTTGTAGATGTACAGTACAGCATCTCTTATTTATAGGTTGATTTCAGAGAGTGTGTTTATGCTCGTATGTTTTCTGTATCTATACATCTGTGTGTGTTTGGAGACCCGGGCACCAGAAGCAGCAGGGGGCACTCTTGCATCACTGCAGCAGCTCCTCTCGTCCTTCATGGTCCCTCTGTCTCACGGCTTCTCCTGCTGTCTCTGGGAGCTCTCTGTCTCTGTCAGTGTCGAGCGCTGAGCAGTAATCACATCTAATGCTCAGGCGGGGATAAAGACAGGGCTGGAGAAGAACAGTGCTGCCGGTGCTGCTCAGCTCTAGTCGGGACTCTCTCTCTCTTGCTGTGGAAGAGGGTGGGTGGGGGTGTCGCTGGTGGGGGTCTTGGTAGATAGGGGCTAAACTCATCTTGAGCTCCACCTCTGGGCCCAGATGAAATGTGCGATTCGGACCTGTGTTTAGCAAAGGGCATCGGTGAGGAGGAGGTTTCTCCGTCTTCACTCGTGTGTGTGCGCGCGCGCGTGTGTGTGTGTGTGTGTGTGTGTGTGTGTGTGTGTGTGTGTGTGTGTGTGTGTGTGTGTGTGTGCACGTGTGTGCGTCTATGAAGCAAAAGGGAACAACTTTTGTTTAAAACATCAGATAAAACACAGGATTTTCTTTTAGTAATTCATGAATAAATATGAGGTTAAAATGTCTGCCTATGTAACACATTTGCACCAGAACACATTTTAAACATCATTTTTATTTTTTATGTGTTTATCAGAAAATCAACTTTGCAGATCAAACCATTTTTCTTTTAAATATTGTTATTGGGAGTGTCGGATGAGGCAAAAGCAAGCATGCCTTCTGCAGAGCGGCAAATTGAACAAATGCAAAAATACTACGCCAGCGTGCGCGTGAAGATAATGATTCTGAATTGTGATGAAAGACAACGTTATTGCTTTTGCGAGCAGTATTTACATACATGCATCGACCTCTGATACGCTGATGAAAAGCACTTCATAGATGTGACTTATAGATTTACCGTTCCAAGCTGTTGACAGCGGTGGCTTTTCTTTCCCCAGATTAAAACACATTCCTCTAAATTACCGTGAGTTATTTAAATGTTGTTGCTGCCTTCCCCTGCAGTCCCTTATTGCCGTATATTTTATATTCTGAAGCTGCCAATTGACAGCAAAGTCTAATTTAGTGAAATACAAGTGACCTGCTGTGTGCAGATTTATTTATTTACATATTTCTTTTGCCTGCAGAGTTTATTTTAATACAGCTTTTTTGTCAATCCGATATCAGCGTGGGTATTTTAAAATAACAAATACGCGTCTATTTAAATAGGTTTTATCAAATGAAACTGCGGTTTTAGACGCTGTGCTGCAGCAATAAAACGGCCTATCGTTTCAAACAGCTAAAACAGTAACACAAGGAGCCCGGCTTCCCCTCTTTATTGTCATATTTAGCACCGACGTTGTGGGATGCGCCGGTCTGCGCTGGTTAAGAAAATTGCAATATGGGGGAGACTGGCTCCTGTATGTGGATACTGTGTCTCCCTGGGGCTCCCTCGCTGCTCTCAGCCTGTTGTCATGCAAATGCTCGTCCTTCTATTTGAATGACATTCTGATAAAATACATAAATAAATTTATACAGAACCAAAACTAAACAAGTCCGCCAGCTTGCTCGCCTCTTTCTAGAACCTCGTGAGTTTGTTGGTTTTTTCTTAAAGGCGCCCGACTGCTGAATAATCTTGGAGTGTGTTTCACTCACAGCGAGACAGTCATGTGCGTGAAAAGGTAAAGGTTGTTTCTAGAAGGGCATCGGCTGAAAGGTTTGCGCGTTCCCTCGTGATCCAGGGTGCTGAAGTCCGTTTAGACCCGCCTGGCTCCAAGTCGCTCCTTCCCTCAGGACTCCGCTATCGTTGCGATTGTACAATAGTGACATTTCCTTAAACTAACAACAATGAGTAGCTTCTGTCTGACTCACAATAGATGGAGAATCTTGACTTTATGCAGAATATTTTAAAGACTGGTGTGGTATTTTTTTATCTTTCCTCTTTTCACTGTGGGGGAGAAGCGACAGCGAGCCGATGTGCACAATCTATTTTTCTCCTTTTCCTTGTGTCCTTTGTGTGTGTATGTGTGTGTTTGCAAGCCATTGATGGTAATGCATGCACTCGGCATGACTTTAATTGATTTAGCAGCTCTGCTTGCACACTACAGCTTTTTCCCTAATTTGTCACTTTCCTGACTTCTGTGGCTGCTCATCTCGCTACTTCAAAAGGCGGCAGCTGCAAAGAGATTTCAATGCACTCCATCGTCTCCTTCTTCTCCTCTCTCGCTCTTTATGCTCTTTCTTTCTCTTGTTCTCTCGCTCCATCTACCATATCACACACACACACACACACACACACACACACACACACACACACACACACACACACACACACACACACACACACACACACCACCCCGCTACTGCCACCACCTCTCATTTGACAGGAGAACGAGCCTTGTAGATGGAAATCTTTTCAACGCATATCAAGGAAATTAATCTACTTTCATAATAAATGGGATCCACTCGGTTGAATACACTTGTATACTTCAAGATGTACAAAACAGGAAGTGGTATCGGGGCCATGTCTTCCTCTGCTCTATTCACCCAGCCTGTCAGTCCCTGTTTTCTGCAGTTTGGTCACACACACACACACACCTCTCTCGCGCTGATTCGTAAAGGAGGCAGGCTTTTGCATGTGTGCACGCTCATGTGTTTGTGCAGAGCTGCTGCTTAGTGACCATTTCATCCCCCGTGCACGCCCCTCCCTCCTGTCTCGTTTACTGTAATAACGGTCCTTGGAAACAATCTGGGCCGCCGCGGAGGGTAGCGCCGCAATCACACGCGGCCCGGCCCGGTCGCCATCCTGAGCTGATTAGGTTATTGAGCAAATAGGAGGAGCCTGAAAAAGGAGGGATGGGAGGCCCTGAGCTGGAGGAGCATCTGTACAGTCAGAGAGCAGGAGTAAGAAGTGAGAGGTGTGTGTGTGTGTGTGTGTTTTGGGGGATGGGGTGAGGGGGGTCAATGTAAATGTTATTGCTGTGTGAGCTCATTTGATCAAAGTCCTGGAAAGGTTAAGCGAATCCAATCTGGTTTTGTATGGCAGAGTGGAGACACGGGCGCTGGGGAAGAAACCCCCAGGATGGAGAATGGATTATTATATTGGCGCTGGAGTAGCTGGGGCCTCCGACGGACAGTTTACTCTGCCCGTAATGCGTTTAGACAGCAATTGGCCTTAATAACCTTTATTGACTTCAGTGGGTCAGTGCCAAGAATCTAATTATCAAAGTGTATCAATTTCATTGGAGTTTAGAGTTGCAGCGCTCCAAATAATTATTTTAAGGTCGGACCGGGGCAATTAATCCCCTCTCCACTTATGTGATGGCTTTGTAGAACATTATAAATGTTATGCTTTCCTGTTGTGTGTAAATAATTTTGGTAAGCTACTGTTTTTGTTTTTTTGTGTTGAGTAAAGTATTTTTCGGAGAGCTCGCGGTGCCGGTTTCAGGTGAGAGGGACAGCAAAAGGCAGCCGGATGCAGAGCAGTCGCTATTCCCCCTCGAGTTTTATTCCCACTTTATATGCACACACGCAACCCAGATTAATTATAAGTGTGAACTAAGCAGTAAACTGTTTAAAGACCTTTTTTATTGCTCATTATGAAGCCATTTATTATCTCTTACATTAAATCACACTGTGTTTATGCTCTGCATTGTTTTGCATTTAAAGCTCCACACTGAGTAAATAGGCTTATGCGTTTATTATGCCCCGATTCTTTGCGGTTCTTTTGCACATGCCATGTGTGTGTGTGTGTGTGTGTGAGGGATGTTGACTCATTTTTACGTGCCAGCGTGCATTAATGTGTGAGATTGCAGGAAGTAAATGTGCAGCATCACTGGCAGTGAATGAGCGGTGTTACCTGGATTGTAGCAGCTGTTTCTGCTCATCGCCCGGCGTAGACGAGAGGC